CCGCAAACCAAGATGGCCGACATGGCAAAAAAATAATACATAGGGTAAAATGCAGTTTTTGGCTCATATCTCTGAAACCAAAGCATTTAGAGCAAATCTGATGGTATAAAATTGTTCATTAGGTCAAGATCTATCTGCCCTGAAATTTTCAGACCAATCAGGCAACATGTTGTTGGGTTGCTGCCCCTGAATTGGTAATTTTAAGAAAATTTTGCAGCTTTTGGTTATTATCTTGAATATTATTATAGATAGAGATAAACTGTAAACAGCAATAATGTACAGCAAAGTTAGATCTACAAATAAGTCAACATGACCAAAATTGTCAATTGACCCCTTAAGGAGTTATTACCCTTTATAGTCAATTTTTTACAATTTTCATAAATTTTGTAAATTTTTACAAAATATTTTCCACTGTAACTACTGGGCCAAGTTCATTATAGATAGAGATAATAGTAAGGAGCAAGAATGTTCAGTAAAGTAAGATCTACAAACACATCACCATCACCAAAACACAATTTTGTCATGAATCCATCTGTGTCCATTGTTTAATATGCACATAGACCAAGGTGAGCGACACAGGCTCTTTAGAGCCTCTAGTTTCTTTTCTAAATTTATCCAATAAACGAAATACATAAATACGAACAAACATGCACAATCTGAAAACCATAATCGACATCGTAGGCTCTCGCATTGGGTCAACCTAAACGACTCGTTTTCTTTCTGATAATCTTTCAAACACCAGCAGTGGTTCCAGCTAAATGGCTCATTCTCTTTCTTATAAACTCACCAGGCCGCAGATGTATAAAACATTTATCCTGCTGGTAAGTAGATAACAGTCAGCATCATTTCGTATTTAAACCTTCTGAACGTAAACAAGATCCTCTTGCATGCTGATCAATGTCTTCTTATGCTGTGCTGCTAAGAAATTGTGCTTACGAAAGCACCTGTTCAAGCAGTGTTAAATTGTAATAATAACAAGAACAAAATATAGTCAAGTGAGTACATACATCTTATTTTTACACAGGTACATACTTTTTTTTTTTTATTTCTAAATCAATTCTCGGGAATAACCGCGCACTTTTAACTTTAATACATAACGATATCACTACCTTAACGAAAGTGTTGTGCATTTCCTATTATGTACATTGAGAAATTACATTTTATGAGTTTTATGATTATTTGGTATTACAATAGACGTTGACTTATTAAATCATTTGCAAGTATATTATTAGTTTGATCCGATCAATCTGTCAAGGCAATTCAAATCCAAAGTTTACCTTTCAAATTTTGAACTGACGTGATACATGTTCAGTGTTAATGTATACTGTCTACTGTATGTCTTAAAACTCCAATCTAGCATGGATTGATTGATTGATTGATGCGTTCTTTACGCCGCATCGGCACAAAAAGGCTATATCGCGGCGATAAAAATTTGAGTGAAATATACCCTCTGCTTATAATACCTCTGAAACAAAAACAAAAATCAAGTTTAGAAATAAGTAAAATTTCCGAAAAACTTCCATTATGTGAAATCAACAACACTAATATGTTTTCAATTATTCTAAGACCAATTAGAGTTTACGGTTTTAAGGGTAGGAATTTTTATATTTAACAAAAGAGATATCCTGTTAAAATGATTAACAAAAGATGCAAACCAGTACTCAGTGCTTAAGCGAACAATCATTTATATAGAAAGAATATGTATAGAAATACAAGTTATACTGTGGTTTTGTTAAATCATTGTTGTTTCATAAGTTGCAAACTTTTTTTCTGTATTTAAATTCTGTCAAATTTACTTTGAGCAATACACAAGATCGTGTCTGCCTATACTATTCATGACGTTGGTGTATGGAATCTCCTCGGAAGTCAACTGCCGATATAAGAATCCCAGAAGTCAACGTTTCTATAGCAGTAGATTAAGTTCTTTGGACTAATTTTATAACGGATTTATGAAATTGATTTGCTGGCCTCTTAACACAGAAATTAAAAAGTCTTCTCCTAGATTGAAATAAACTGGACATTCCGCCCGAGAGGTATGTACGTTTCGAAGGAAAAAATAAAAAAGCCTGCTCTACAAGGGGTGACAATGAAAATTTGGAAGGCGAAAAATCCTCATGTTTTAATATTGATGACAATATCGACTTTTTGTCATTATTTGTCTCGCCTGCGACAAAAAAGCAGATTGACACACATAGTAACGGTAATTCGGCGTCAGGTTAAACTTTGTATAAAGCTTAATATTTCATATTGTAGAAGACCCGGATGCTTCATACCTATATAGACGGCTCATGTTTCGAAGTTTCAGTCTGTCATATGTCAATTGTCCTTGAAAACTGTATGTTTTTGTCATGTGAATTCTTGAAAGACATATGAATTTTAACGGGTGTTTACGGATGATACAGGTCAAGTACTAGTATTACAACAGGTTATAACTGTTAATAGGGTGATGTCACAAAACATAATGTGGGTAATACATTGATGTCATTGATAAATACTGCATCTTCTGTCTTTGTTCTGGGGAAAAGTAAACAAGAACATCAAGGTTGTAATATAATGAATGTATAGGAATGTATAGGAATGTATAGGGATGTATAGGAATGTATAGGAATGTATAGGAATGTATAGGGATGTATAGGAATGTATAGGAATGTATAGGAAAGCGTAACGGTTTCAAAAAGCCAGGGATTCATCGTATTATAAACTTAATGAACACAGTGGTAAAATCAAGATTTTCTTATTTCATTAATAGGGACAATCCCCCGTTTATTTGAAACATTGAGTTATGCGCTTTCAAAATCATATATGTTATTGGATAAACGCATTTAATGGGAATGCTATATAGAACGTGTGACAAGGGGATTGTCTGCCTTTATATGTCACTGAGTAAACACGATTTAGATCTATTTTGCTAAGATTAAAATATATTTAAGTCCGATTTTTGCGTAATGTATGTGGGTACAGTCAGGGTAACACATTTCAAATGATTTTTTTTTCTTCGCATTTTCTGATTGCCTTGATATCTGCAAAAGGAACTATTTTAGAATGTTAATGAAACCCCTAACGAATAATCAAAGCTTCATTCTATGCAACATTCTTTCCACAAACTAAATTCAATCGGCGTACATGAAATGCATGTCTATGCTGTTACCGCTACTAGACCAACCGTTAAATTGTTTCTCCCTATGAATATGGAACTATTCAGTGATGATTTCAAAAACACCCTAAAAATTTGACACAGCACGTTTCTTGCATAACAGTGTAGAGAAAAGAAAATTCAAGACATTTAGTGACAAAAGTTAGTGGGTACCTTTTATCATGCCTATGCTGTTACCAATAAATTTATCAATTACAATAATATTAGACTTGTAACAAGAATGTTTCCATAGTACACGGATGCCCCATTCGCACTATCATTTTCTATGTTCAGTGGACCGTGAAATTGGGGTCAAAACTCTAATTTGAATTCGAAATACTCAAATCAGAAAGATCATATCATAGGGAACATGTGTACTAAGTTTCAAGTTGATTGGACATCAACTTCATCAAAAACTACCTTGATCAAAAACTTTAACCTGAAGCGGGACAGACGGACGAACAAACGAACAGACGCACAGACCGAAAAAACATAATGCCCCTACTATCGTAGATGGGGCATAAAAAGTGCAATTACGTGTTGGAAACCAAACTCATAGCAGAAAAACATTATCACTGCATCAAAAGGAGTAGTTATTCCACAACAGCATTCATAAATGAAGAAAATTGTCTATCCTGTTACAGTACTATGGTTACAGTAACAGGATAGACAATATTTGACTAAAACGTCTTTAAAAAGTATATAATTACATATCATTTTACACATAACGAAATGATTGGTGGTTTGAACTCATTTAAAGATCTTAATCTTTGCAATTTAGCATAAACAAAATGCAATACTGCTTTCGGTAACAGGATAGACAAAAAGGGTAACCGGATACAAGTTAATATGGTGATATATCGTAAACGTACGTTCATGTTGACAAAACTTGAAGTAAACTAACATGCAAGGGAATTACTTAATATTGGCTTTATGAGAAAGAGAAAAAATGCTGAACATTATGAATTGCTATCTTAGGCTTACGTTGCTGATGGTTATTTTTATAACCAATTTTTAGAGGCATTTTTCAGTACAACATGGAAAATTGACAAATAATCTATCAATACACAGAATGAAAATATATAGAAGTTTTACTATTGAAAACCATCTTATTGGCAATGAAAAACAAGCTTAAAATTTTGCTTTTTGTTCGACACTTTTGCTTTTTGTCCGTTGCTTTTGGTCCGTTTTGCTTTTTGTCCGATAATTTTGCTTTTTGTCCGACACTTTTGCTTTTTGTCCGTTGCTTTTTGTCCGTTTTGCTGAAGTTAGAACCGACGGTCCAGACATTGTTACTTTCTTGGTGTAAATATAAAAAAAGCAAGAAGCAATTCAGTCAGACAACAATGCACAAAATCAAAATACAGGCACTTGTTGACTGGATGGCCTTCCCCCTTTTTAGCTTATATTTTCTGATAATCATAAAGTACATTTTGTTTAGGGAGAAGGAGTGCAATTATTCCACATTTCCATATTTTTATATATAGGGCGGTCATGAAGTGGGTTAGTCATAAAATAGAAGTTCCCTCTGTAATATTGTTTCCACAGGAACAAATATTACAGTATTTGTTCCTAACGGAATAAAGGGTATAAAATATTTGTTCCAACTGGAAGACATTATGTCATTGTTTATAACAAAGGTTCCAGGGGAACTTCTGTTAGGCGGAACAAATATGTACCTTGACAGGTATGCCCCCTTATTATGCAATATTGTTGAGAGAAATTTATACAGTTACATATATACAACTCTTACACATGTACATGTATGATGACTGTACAGTTCATACACACCCAAATGACATCAAATATTTTATTTCCTGCTTAAAGTTACTTTATGAAACAAGGATTTTATAGTTAAAATGTGAAAAGTCTTTGGTGAAATAATGTGCATTCTGTGTGTGTAAAATTAAATGTCACTCCTGTGAAACTATTTAAAATGTTTGCATATTTAGCTTTACCTGAATGAAACAGAATTAAAATGTAGGTCAAGAATTTTACTACGAACCTAAGGAACGCATGTAAACAAACCAAATATTGGGATCATTTTACAAAGTGTTGCATATTTCTACCTGACCAGATATTGAAATATACGGGTATAGCCCTAGTTATTGATCTTAAGTAAGTTATCGTGTGTTGTACCGTTGTTAACGGCATACAACAACAAAACATGTATAAAATCATGTTTGAACTCCTCTCATGCATTCAGTATATAATTAAAAATTTGGAAAACCAATGCTATTAAAGTTTGTGGTTGTATATCCGTTGGAGGTTTAAAATATAATCGCAGAAAGCGAGTGGGCTATAAAAAGACTGTTTTACTAGTACATCGATCATAATTGTGATTTGCACGCCGTCTTTCTACTATGGCCTTATATGCCTATTGGAAAAAATCTGTTATTGGATTTTTGTTGTGTATATTAACTTTTGCCGTAACTAAATGTGTGTCGCAGAAGGTGTTAGAAGTGCCACTACTGGAAGTTGGAAACTTGTGGTATAAGTCATTTTCTACGAGTTCGATAATTTCATTCTTTTCAACGTTTTTAGATTTTTATTCAATTTATACATACATTTGTCTAACAGCAGTATGTGTGGCAATTTATTACCTATACCAGTTATTCTGTGTGCCATTGAACAGAATCAGGATTTTAGGAGACATTGGATATGTTACGGAAGGAAAATTTACAATGAAAGACATGGCAAATGTTGTACGGAAATCTCGAATGGTCGGAGAAGTACCACCAGTGTACCCCAACGGATGGTTTGGTCTTACTGAAAGTTTTCAGCTCAAAAAGTCAGAGACGAAAAATATTCAGGTTTTAGGTAAGGTTTTCAATAGTTTTGTTTATTTATTTGACTATGGTGTTGTATCCACGAAGAGTAAAACATGCATGTACTAAAACTCACATAAAACAATTGGATGTAATGGACACCTTATGTAGCCGTAATGTTATATATTGTGGCTTTGCCCAATCCTTTAAATCTGAATTATATGTTCATTGTTTTATTCTATGATGTTCATTCAATTGATACAGATTACTAACTTCCTTTAAGACATTTGGCAAAACTTCCTTTTGAACCACCCTGCATATATGTTTATGCTGATTCTTTCGATAACAGGGTTCAAGAGGAAGTCTTTCCCTACTAAGGGTAAAGCCTGTTATATAATATAAAAAAGGGAGACACGACAGTTTGGTTTAACTATTGCAATCTTGTGACATCCCACAGACACTCCTAGTTTGGGTCTACAAGTAGGGCAGTTCATAAAATGCTTTCAGTTGTGATAAAAAGTCACCATATACAGTAGGAAAGTTCAAGGTTATATAAAAGTTATCTAATCCACTCATAACTAATACTTTACGGTGTTGTTTTTTTTAACTTTGTGATTACAAAGTCCTGTATTTTAAAATTTGTTTATTTCAAAAAAAAAATAATCGTGCAACACAAGTATATCTAATTGCGCAGCACAAAAGATGTAAAGAAGTGGATATTCTGCGCATATAATTAAATATTATGCGCATATAATTAAATATTATGCGAACTTCAAATAGAAAACAAAATCATTTTCTTATTGTAGACATATTTGTTTTGAAACATTTCAAAGTCGTTCACTCACCCAACTAACGAAAGAAAACATAGTTATTCCGGGCCCATACATGCGTTTCCAGAGGCGGATTGAGGGTGGGGCAAGTCCCCCTTACGTAGCTACATATGTAATAAATGCATAGACTTTTTACAAGTATCACTCCAATCTCTGGCTTGCCAGGGACACCCTTTCTCTTTTCAAAATCCTGGATCCGCACCTGGTTTCAGTGTTTTGAAATATTTTTGTTGCAAAAATAGATTACTCCCACATCGGTCTTTTTTTAAATATTATTAGTGTGTGGTAAATGATAAACTAAGTGTTTTATTTCTGTAGAATCTGATAAATTTCGATAAAACCTCTCTCTGATAATAGTAATGAAATAGATAGAAATGGGTGCAAATGTAATGAACTAATTTAAATTGATTTCTGTCAATTATAATTCGTGAAACGATATAATCGAGTGATTTGTAAAACTTGTATGCGCTTCACAAATCATGACATTTCAATTGACAGAAAATATTTCAATCATTGACGATGATTGTGCATTTAATTGTGCACTCAAAGAAGTTCATTTAACTTCTCACATTCATCCTTCCGTCACATCAAAGATGGTTACTCGTCTTAGAAGTTGCAAGATAAGAGGAGCACGTTGGTTTTGTCTGTATAACATCTGGTTAAAAAATGATGTCTAGGCCAATAATAAAGTATTGGTTATACTTATTGATTTATATGTTAATAATTAACATTAACAATTATAGTAATATTACCCGGACAAGGTAATAAACATATAATTGATCAGACAATATGATGTATTACCTATAAAATGTATGTAAAACGTGGCTATTTACATCGGGTCCAATGTTCATCGACAGGTTAAAAGCAGTGAGCAAAATCGGAAGGAACGGTGTGTGTGAGAGAGTATTAGTCTACACAACGCTTAACAAATTGTTAGTACATTTGCACTGTTGTTGAATTTTGATTTTTCCTTTTGTATTTTCCGCTCTCTTCTTTTTAAAATGAATAACATTCGAGTTAATAAGGCTTAAATAAAAAGGTGGTATAACGTTAACCTTGGGCGAATCCAGGATTTTAGGTTAAAAGTAGGGGGGGGGGGGGGGGGGGGGGGCAGAAACTTAAATTTTCGCTAAAATTATTTTGAGGTAAAATCATCGAAATATTCTTTATTAAGCTGAGGATAACCCATGCTTTGCAAATTTCAGGGGGCGCACGCCCGCCACGCTCCCGCCTGAATCCGCCCCTGTTATAACGTGGTCATGCGCTGATCTATTTGTCTTTTTTATAAAGTGATGACTGGGTCCAAATCCGCCACTGAAATTAACCTTTTATCTAAGGTAATCTTTAGTAACCGTTAAGACTAAATAATACAATAATATTACAAGAATATTTATTATTCCAATCAAGGGCCCTTGATCGGCAGCGTAACATGTACACATAAAACAATATACATCATCATTTGTAACAGAAAAAACATATTTTTTATACATTCAAATGAAATATATAATATGATTATATACTGGCAGTCAACTTGTCCATGCTGACCGACAGAGCCAGTAACCTGATCTGTTAAATGTCAAACATAATCTTGAGTATTAAATAAATAATTCACATATATATTTAAAGTAAGTACAGGAGTACTTGTACTTTCAAACACCTTTAATATTTGACCTTATTTTTAATCAATACTTTGAAAGGTTTTAAGTCTAACTAATGTACAAGTTACGACAGGCGCACGTTAATTTAATTAGGATATTATATCAATCTGCTTTGGATGAAATCATTCAGAATAAAAGAAATTTTTTATTTAATTTTACATTTATACATAGAGTGACTAATGTCACGTGAAAGCTATATCCTGATTGTCTCACTTGTAGATGTAAAAAATATGTTTGTGTTATTTGATAAGTAGGGGTTTCGGTTGTTGGAAAACTGTAAAATTTATAAAACATGAAAATATACATACGAACAGCATAAATCTTGATTGTTTTGATGAAATAAACTATTTTTTTAAAATTTGATTTGATTTGAAAGACATAAAATATATATTTCACATCATATGAAGATAAGAATACCACACGATACACCAGCACTAAATCATACACCAATGCAAACAGAGCAATAAATTACACAATTAACTGTTGACACAGAGATATGTCTCGCCAGTCGGCATAAAATTCAGAAAAAGAAAATCAGATGGACAGCAACATGGTTTATTAATTTAGTCGCTGGACCATTATCTAGTGGACAGGGCCTGAAAATAGTCGTCAAACTGATATGTACAGATAGTAATGCAACTTCATATCAAATGTCATTGATCTATCACGAGTAGTTCCTATCAAACTAACTTAAGCAGAAAACTTAACACTGAAAATTGCTAAGATTTAAAGACACTGGACCATGACCTAGGGGGTAGGGCCTCGAAATAGTTGTCAAACTGATATGTACCGATAGTAATGCAACTTTATATTAAATATCAATTATCTATCACAATTTGTTTCTATCAAACTAACTTAAGCAGAAAACTTAACATTGAAAATTGCTAATTAATTCAAAGTCGCTGGACCATAGCCTAGGGGGCAGGGTCTCGAAATAGTCGTCAAACTGATATGTACTGATAGTAATGCCAATGTATATTAAATACTAATGATCTATCACATGTATCCCTATGTCTCGCTTTCAGCGACTTTCGTCGCAGGCGAGACAAAAACAGTATTAAACATAGAGCAATACATGTATCTCACACGACATAGTTCTATACAGAAATGTAACAATATATCACACTTGACACAATTTTAAACAGATAGTAACAGTATATCACACCTGACACAATTTTAAACAGATAGTAACAGTATATCACATATGACATAGCGCTATACAGAATAACAGTATATCACACACCTCCCAGTTCTATACAGAAATGCAACAGTATATCACACACAACCAGTCCTATACAGAAACGTAACAGAACATCACACATGACAAAGTTCTCTACAGATAGTAACAGTATATCACACATGACAAAGTTCTATACCAATAGTAACAGTATATCACACATGACAAAGTTCTACAGATAGTAACAGTATATCACACATCACACAGTTCTACAGATAGTAACAGTATATCACACATGACACAGTTCTACAGATAGTAACAGTATATCACACATGACACAGTTCTACAGATAGTAACAGTATATCACACATGACACAGTTCTACAGATAGTAACAGTATATCAAACATGACACAGTTCTACAGATAGTAACAGTATATCACACATGACAAAGTTCTATACCAATAGTAACAGTATATCACACATGACAAAGTTCTATACCAATAGTAACAGTATATATCACACATGACACAGTTCTCTACAGATAGTAACAGTATATCACACATGACAAAGTTCTCTACAGATAGTAACAGTATATCACACATGACACAGTTCTACAGATAGTAACAGTATATCACACATGACACAGTTCTATAGATAGTAACAGTATATCAAACATGACCCAGTTCTACAGATAGTAACAGTATATCACACATGACACAGTTCTATACCAATAGTAACAGTATATCACACATGACAAAATTCTACAGATAGTAACAGTATATCACACATGACACAGTTCTATACCAATAGTAACAGTATATCACACATGACAAAGTTCTATACCAATAGTAACAGTATATCACACATGACAAAGTTCTATAGATAGTAACAGTATATCACACATGACACAGTTCTACAGATAGTAACAGTATATCACACATGACACAGTTCTACAGATAGTAACAGTATATCACACATGACACAGTTCTATACAGATAGTAACAGTATATCACACATGACAAAGTTCTCTACAGATAGTAACAGTATATCACACATGACAAAGTTCTCTACAGATAGTAACAGTATATCACACATGACACAGTTATACAGATAGTAACAGTATATCACACATGACACAGTTCTACAAATAGTAACAGTATATCACACATGACCCAGTTCTACAGATAGTAACAGTATATCACACATGACACAGTTCTACAGATAGTAACAGTATATCACACATGACAAAGTTCTATACCAATAGTAACAGTATATATCACACATACCCTGTCCTATACAGATATGTAACAGTATATCACACATGACACAGCTCTATACAGATAGTAACAGTATATCACACATGACCCAGTTCTACAGATAGTAACA